GAAGATTCAGCTCCTCTACAAGACACTGAAATTATGAAGGATACAAGTCCTTATCCAAGACAATCCAAACAATTGCCAAAGTAAATGGAAACACAACCTCAGGCTCATTATTTGCTTGCTGTAGGCAGAGTTAGTCAATGCCTTCCTACAAACACCGAAGAAACCACCTACACTTTCCCATTCACATTATACCTAAAGGCAAGTTCCTTCAGTGCAAATCCAAACGAGCTCAGATGCCTTCGTTACTACTCCGAGGAAAAGATAACCAATTAAAATAGCAAAATATTGTCACTGAAGCAGAATCTAAGCCAGAATCAACCTTGAACACACTCAAAACCAGGTGGCCAGGTTGTATTGGGCCCCTGGCAGCCTGGTCTAGTATTAAACGGGGAGGTTGGTGGCCCTGCCTGCGATGGGGGGTGAGGGAGGGAAGTTGGAGATTCATGATCTTTGAAGTCCCTTCCAACCTGCGCCGTTCTGTGATTCTGTGATTTGCTACTAAGAACTTACCTCAGAAATCTAGAAAAGCTAAAATTCACAAAATAAGAAAAATCCCAAACCCCCATCGGAAAAATGAGGAGGGAAGGAAACAGAAGGAAACAAAGTATCCTCATGACAACAATCTTTCTACATCCTAAACTGTAGCTGGGAACCATACAAAGTAGCCATCATTACTTCCTTTTTCATCTTGGTCCTCCTTGGCCCCAAGAGAGAGGCAAGACTAGACTCAAGGCCACGGAAAGATTTATGTTTTCTGCCACAATTGCTTCCATGGGCACTGGAAAGGCTGGCAAGACAAGGAGAATTAAGACAGTATGCAAGTTCTGTTGCACCCCTTGACTGTCTGCCAGCAGCAACAGGAAGAAGAGGTTTGCTGAATGCTTGAATTCCTGATATTCCTCAGATAACAGCACATTTTGTCAGATGTAATTTCTTCTGTTTTCCACACTTTGGTTTTTAGAGATCACCAGCCAGTTTTAACAAAATCAAGTAAGTCTTATGTCAGAGGCTAGCCAAGATTTATTCAAATCAAATCAGCCATAAAAAGGTACTATTTTCAAATTACAAAAATTTAATTTTATAGATGTAATGTCTAATGGAACCAGGATAAGACAGGCCAGGCAAAGTTCCCAGACTGCTAAGCATATGCTCTTAACCAGTCTCATCTATCAGTACTTGTCTGACAATATATGGTAGACATCTCAAGAGAATTATTTGCATCCTGCTAGAAGTACAAACTGCAAAAACTCTGCTTTTCACAGTCGTTACTATTTGTAATTTTTTTTTAATCCTTAAATGTCAATCAGTTGACACTGCTTTTAATAGAAAGGGTCAAAAGCCATTCGTATTTTGTTAAGTCTGATATTCTAAAATCAAATTTAGTGGAACCAAGCCAGGAATGCACAGCATTCTCTGTACTGAAAAGATGCCTCTTAACAGACTTGGTCCAACCGTAAAAATAAAAGTAATTTTTTAAAGGATACAACAACTACTTTCAGTAAACCAGTTTCTCCATATGTGACTCATGGTACGAGTGTTACATGGGAGACTTTATTTCATCTAAACCAATAAAGTTTTCCAGTTCGCACTCAGAACTCAGATTCTAATTTCAATTCTGAAGCCCAAAATTTTTCTGACAAATAAATTTCACAGACCTTTGCCCACCTCCACCCAACTCTAATTCTGAATAGCACTATGTGTCAGCAGAAGATAGTAAATTTTACATTGGCTCTTAGTCATTATTTTTATGGTACATGTATTTGCCCTACTACCTGCCCTTAACTACTAGGACAGAACTGTAATGTCTTCTAAGTTACCAATTCCTGTACTCCTGTAAGCAAGCTTAAAAAAACATAATTCCGTATGAAAAGAAAAAAAAAAAAGGAAAAAAAAAAAAAAGGAAAAAGAAAAGGAAAGAATTTCATTCATTTCTTAGTTAAATATGGAACATTCGAGTTCTGCTTGAATACACTGAATTGTTTGCTTGCCTCTGTAACTAATAAAACAGAAAATGGTTTGTAGCCTCCAGGCACCTGGCTTCACATTGTGAGAGACACAAACCGTCTGTAAGCAAAACGCTTTTTAGAGTTCATGATTAAAGACTCAGCTTTTTAGCAAGAAGTTCGAAGGTTACAAATCATAATCAATAGTTCAAGCATAGTAATTTTTAAAGAAACAAAAATATTTCCTATGTGCCCTCATAAATAGATGGCAACAAATCATTCAGCAATTAGCAAAGACATGTAATAAAGTCTGCTTTTCCACTTCCCTGCCAAGTTTTTGTTACAAAGTTCCCAAGAAAAATAAATACAATGATAAAGAGAAAGGTTTTTTTTTTTTGACAACAAATCCAGTAAGCATTCATTATGTACAAGGAGTTTAGGAATTAACAATGAGGAACCTCATGCTGAACTACAGTAATCTCATCAGAAAGGTTTTATTCATATTCATGAACAACAATACAATCATAGTAACAAAAAGATGATATAGAGGCTTACTGGAAAATACTACTTAAAGTATAACGATTTCTCTCTCAACCTAGGAAAAAAAAACGGCTTTCTAGAAATGGCTTCATTTTACTTCACTCAGTTTTCTATCTCTGTCTTTTTTATTTCTAATTATAGAACTATTCTAGACCACAGTTCTATTTTAAATATATTTTCCTTTAGAATCCAAACACCAAAATGGAGTTGATTTTCAGTAGAAGAAAGAGTTTAACAAACCATCATCGAAGTTCTTGTCAATTCAACAGCACATTTCCCATCAAGTTTATTCACAAATAAAAATAATCACAGAATCACAGAATCACCCGGGTTGGAAGGGACCTCAAGGATCATGTAGTTCCAACCCCCCTGCCTAGCAGGGCCACCAAACACACACATTCAGATCAGGTTGCCCAGGACCCCGTCCAACCTGGCCTTGAACACATCCAAGGACGGGGCATCCACAACCTCCCTGGGCAGCCCGTTCCAGGGCCTAACCACTCTCCTTGTAAAGAAAAATAAATCTAGACACACAGGCATAAAACTTGTATTTGATAACAGTTTCATCTTAAAAAATGACATTCTATTGCCAAATGTCTCAGCAATCCTGCAAATGTAAGCGCCTGTTCCTGAATTTCAGTCAAAGTACTCACACAGCAGAAATATAAGAATTCAATAATTCTTGTCTTACTTATTAAAAGTGCTTACTAAATAGTACTAAAGTACTAAATATATGCCACACAGCAACTGATCTCACAGCACTTCAGTTAAGTCTGCAATATATTTAACACATAAAGGAGCCTGATTTCCATCGCACAAAGGAGGATTCAATGTTAGTAGGTAGCAGATACCAGCACTTTGATATTGCAATAGCTGTTATTAGAGATGGTTTATACAGTGTTATGGTTCAAGTATTAGTAGCTAGATCACGCACTTGAATCTCTCTTTGAAAGGCATCTTAAAATAGAGCTGCGATCACTTTTATCGCTGTAAATGCAGAACAGTTTCACCAACTCTAATGGTTAACATCAGTGTGAAGTTTTACTCCCAGATTCTACTTTCACAGTCCAAAGAGACAAGAATTACATATGCCAACCAACAAAGAACTGAGCAAAGATGAGCATTTTTGGAAAGGGAGATTGCTGCATCCCATAAAAAGCATTTCTTCCCTTAGTCATGGAATAAACAATACCCCGGTTTACCATGACACTGTACACTGCTCTCACTCTTAATTTTTTATTTTTTTCCATTTGAAAAGTACAAAGAGAAGATCAAGGTCTTTCATGGCTAAGCCTAGGGACAAAACTGGGAACTATTACATTATGAAACTACAAGGAAAGCATGGTCTGTAATTGAAGTCATGTGCAGTGCACTGAAGCAACTGAGCAGAAAGACTTTCCCCTCATCTGACCTAGTTCTGTCAAAGATTCCCACATAGAGGAGTGGGTGTAGAGGTGACACATACAGTTGTCTTCAAAAATTTTGGAAGGCAATAACTCACAGTAGAGAATATCTCAGGCCCTGACAAGGAAAAGCTAACTGAACTCCAGAAAATTCAGACAAGTATTAGAAGGCCATCCAGAACAGTGAGTGTACAAAGTGAACAAGCCAAGTCATTTTGCAAGGGAAAAAAAAAACAACAACCAACAACAGAGCCAGTGCTAGAAAAATGAAAGCATGGTGTGGACAGGTTTCTGTTCGCAAAGAGGTCAAACACCAAATATACAACTTGCAGAAATGATGAGAAAAGGCTCCAACAAACAATAAAATTTCATTAGATTATTCTAATAAACACAAACAACCTCCAGCTTCCCACAGGCCCAGCCATTGGTAGCTGAGTAGATTCTGCACATGTCTTATGAGAACAAATTTTCCCTAAAATCCAACCTGAACCTCCCCTAGCACAGCTTGAGGCCGTTACCTTTCATCACTGTTACATGAGAGAAGAGGCCAACCCCCATCTTGCTACAACCTAATTTCACAGAGTTGTAGAGACTGATAAGATTATAAGATCTCCCTTGAGCCTCAATACTGACAATACTCTAGTCTTTCTGTCTGTATCCCTATTTTTCTCACAGTTTCTGGGTAAGACACCACATACATCAGGGTGTGCAAGAGTAGTAATAGGTTATATAAAAGGAGCAGTCTCAGGTCAAAAGCAATCAGTGACCTTCCCTGAAAGAAAAAAAAAAAGGTCTTGATGAAAGAAAGATGCAGTAAAATTGAGAGCAGTATGAGCTACCTCAGGCCTCATTTATTGAAATGCAATACATTTTGACTCAGGAACACAAAATAACTGAACAGGAAGACCTTGCTCAAAACATACCACAAAACATAACTTCAAGAAGTGTGCTGTATTTTGTCAAACAAGCCTCTAAAATAAGAAATTTAAAGCAACAAAGCATTTCACTGGATGTTATCTACTTCTCTTACCAACTACACCACCGAACTATGGCATACCATCAAATAGTTCATATCTGTTCTTATCCACCCCAAAAGAGAAGTTTTGTTTGTTACCTCTTACCGACAGTTATTTTGACAGTTCTTCTCCGAGAGTCCATCCTCATCTTCTCCCATAATATCCACTGCCGAAAATATCAGTGCAACGAGAATTGCAAAGCAGCATACCAGTGCAAAGATCACAATGCATCTTTGCTGGGACTGAAAGAGATTAAGATTAAAAAAGTTTTAACAGAGTGAGCACATTCCAGTCAATGACTTGAGACTCTAAAGCTTTTGAATAAAAATGTAGAAACCTTTGAAGACCTTACTGCCATAGCTGTAAATATGAAACACACCTCAGGATGAAAGTATCCTCAAAGCCATCCTTGAGATTATCACCTTGAGATGTAGTATATATCACTCAGGCATCATTAAATAATTCATGTCATAAATAATATTCATAATTTAAACGTGTCTTCTGTTGGCACCACAAGAAAAGCATTTTTTAAAAAAGCATTATGCATTACAATAATGATTCTCACATTAACTATATACTTTCTGATTGCACATCACAACATAATACACACTTCAGGATGGCAATCAAAATCTTGAGAGTTTTGTTGTGTTTGGCTGAAATAAAACATGTCACTGTGAGAATGAAGAGCAAAGTCCTTTTTTATTGCTACAGAAAGCAACTGACATTGTAAAAACTGTTGCAGCAACTGAGACACTTTGGCCAGTCCTTGCCCTGCAGCACTCAAGATACAAAGAAAGAAAATTGACAAACACTAGATAGGAGTCAACAAAACAATTGGAGATCGCTGGCAAAACACAGCATAGCCTTACTCTACAATATGAAATCTTGCAGCACTAAATGGATACGAATACAGCGCTAGATAAACGTGAAACCTAAAGAATTTCCTGACATGAAATTTACACAGTTGCATGAATAGAAAGATTACTTTATTTTGAAACCTATTGTTCAAATATACTGTGTATTTTTCTACTAAAGAAAATTTGCACAATCTCAAATATATTTAAATAATAATTTTAAAAACTCTAACATTTTACCATAGTTATTTTCTTAATTCCTATCAACCCTGTACATGAACTTTTATTCAAAAAAAGCTTTATAAAGAAATAGGAAACAGAGAAAGTGCAACCTCATATTTCTTCCTGAAAAACAACTTCACAGTATTTCCATGTTTTGTTTTTTGTTTTTGTTTTTTTTTTTTTTTTTTTAAAGTGATTTTCCAAAACTTCCACTTGAGTGTGCATCCCAGGAGAACCACACTCACACTTGTCAGAACAAATCAGATGTTTGTACAGAAGAAACGAAACACTCATCAGTAACACAGTAAAACAACTCAGTGAGACAGAAAGGAATTTTCTGAAATTCGGTGAGAAATGTATTCCTTTACCTAACACTGAATAAATGTAGGTTATACGTGTGTTTTAAATATAATGCATGTTAAACATTTTTATAGCTTCCAAGTACATATTTAAATCTGTGCCAATATATTATCTAAAATCTTATAAGAATGTAGCATAAGAAAACCCTCTTCAAACATTCACAACACCTACTCCTGAAATAAATGCAATATGTACTTACTTTTCTGCTAGGTATAATCGTGGTAACGTATAAACAAGAATTAGAAGCAAGTGCATTTGGGTACCCAAAAGCGAAGCTGTAGTCATGTGCACAGTAGGATTTAATAGAGAAACGTTAAAATACTGCCCTGTCATAGTGGTGAGAAAAACTAAGAAGTGCCAAAGAGGCATTTGGACCTGGGACACTGCTTTATGCCCTTTCCTCACCAGGACATCTAATCTCTTGCTACAATGACCTTTGTCTCATGCAGTTTGTTACAATTCCCCAAGTGTATTTGCAGAAACTGCTGCAGCTTCTTCCAAGCGCTGAGTTTATCACCATGGCAGCAAGACAGCAGAGCTACTCCCATGGCAGTAAGCCAAGCAGAGCCAGGGCTTACTCTCTAGCCCTGAGGGCAGGGGAAGCCAGCCAGGACAGCTCGTGGCCCTAAAGCTCCTTTCACTCTAATCACAGGATAACTGCAGTCGTTCTGCTCACTGGGAACAGTCCTGAGCCCATATTTTGGACAAAGATTGACAAAATTGTCACAACTGGCATCCTAGCTACTATCCTAGCTACAACACTGCTCCACCAATTGACTCCCACCTTCTTGCTGGGTGTCTTCACAAGCAATCAAATAACCACAGAGCATCCGAGGGACTGGAACAGATAGGAACACATCAGCCTTCAAAATTGGGCCAGCCAGACTAAGGCAGCAAGAGATGTTGCGTTAAAAGGAGTCACCAAATGTCCCTGAAAGTCTTGCTTAAAGGCCAAAAGGTATGTAAAAACTACAGAATATTTAACATGATATCATAAGAAGAAGAAAACAAAAAAAAAGCAGGTGAGCCTGACAAGTAATGTTCCTTCAACACCAGGAAATTTTACAGTAGCAATTTCCAGGTGGGATATCCCAAGAATAAAGAAAGTGGAAGGCCAAAATAATCCTCCTGATCTACCTTAAATCCCATTTCACATCAATTCAGGGAACACACTCAAGGCTTCTAGACTTCAGTGTCGTAGCTTGAATTTGTAAAAAGCTTAAATCCCTATTATTTCAGTTCTGAGTGTGTACATTTCACAAACTTTGCAGTTTGACTGCTTCTCAGTACGAACAGCATCAATTTAACATGATAAATAAGACCAAGCTAAAAAACTAGAATAAAAAATTAGGCATTTCTGTTTGAATATAATAACAGATTAGTTGTTTCAATGTTTTATTATTTTTTTATTTTTTATTTTTTTTAAAGTCCCAGCTCAACAGCATATTGACTTGTAGCACACAGGACCTATAAAATTCACCCACACTATAAAGAACTTTATCAAACTCCAAGAACTCTGCTTTTTTCTTTGAATGAAGGATAACACAAAATACACAATTTTTTGAAAAACTAAAAATCCCAAGTTACAACTCTCCTAATCCCAAACATTTAATCACAGATCTGAAAGGCTGGGTAAAGATCATTAAAAAAAAAAAACAACATTATACAGATAGTAAAGGGGATTTTGAATGCTTTTACAGTTGAAATTACTCTTGCTGAGTGGTGATTTTTGACAACATTTAAACATATATATTAGATTAGGAATGAATATTTAAATACTGCTTATCTTCAAATTGATGCTAATATTATTAAAGAAGAATGAAAAATAGCTGTTGGCACCAAACGTGTCTCCTGAGCTTTTCTTTTGACAGTGATAGTAAATCTTAATTTCCATCACTAGCGTCAAAACTGCAGGCAATTTTATAATAGGCTTTTTCTAATTAAAGCTGATCAGAACAGTCCATGCCCCTATTCTATTCTACTATCCACACATGCATGCATGTGGGAGTAACAGCAGGCTTATTGAAAGAAATTAATTCAAAACAGAAAAGCTCACACATAGAGACATTAGAAGGAATCTGTTAGATTTGCTGTTTGGGCTCAAGTCCACATGCTTGGGAAAACTGCTTGATGTGATATTGCTTTGCCTTGGCTTGGCAACTAGGATCTGAGCTTGTCAGCTTTCTCCTTCTGCTTCGACCAGAAAATGCCTAAAACCCCTTTGTCTTTCATACTTCAACACTTAGTTAAGGAATACAGATTAGAGAGAGAACTGTAAAGCTTATATAGTCCATCTCTTCATAAACATGATTAATTTATACAAGCAGTACTTTAAGAGATATTTATCTACCCTGTCCTTAAGAATTTCCAGAAAGAAACTCCCGCAGAAATAAGGACCATCAAAAATGCTGTTATTTTCCACTTTCATGAGCAAAATGTGTTTATTTCACTTGCCTCATCCAAGTTAATACCAATGTTTAAAAGAAATCCATCAAAACACTGCATTCACTAAAAGAAAGCATGGTACTTTCATGCTGTTATGCTCCTAGGTAGAGAGCGAGAAAAAGAACAAAACCTGCACAAAATGAGTATGCAGTGCAGCACCATTCAGAGAAGATTTTCATTTGAGAAGAACGTTATCTGTTTATTTATCATTATATCATTTCTTATCATTAAGAAAAATGATAGCCTGTGGCAGTTAAGGTTGCACCAGAGCTGGGGCTATCCAAGTAGAATTTCAAATGAGAACTAGAAGAAAAAGCCATCCACTTTCACTGCATACCCATTGCGCAAAGCCTGGTAAGAATTCTTCAATGGCCCATAAAGCTTTCACTTTCTTCAGAAACAATAGGTATTTCTAACACGGTAAATGTAAAGAGGAATTTACTTTTCCCTCAGCACAGTACAAAAAAAAACCCAACAAAACAACACCTCATCTCCCCAAACAAGAGCCACAAAATCACCACGTTGCATCTACTGAGAGAATTGAGTACATAACAACCAAGCATGTCATGGCTTTGAAATAATGCTTTATTTTTATATCTATTTGGAGAACAAAGGAGGCAGGATTTACACAGCATACTAATACAGAGGCCATTTTTGCTTGTAAGAACCACAGAGGCACTGAGAGAGGTTTTCAGTAGCCTACTCCTTCCTGTAATGTGTCTGAAGATCAGTACGAGAAGCACTCCTCTTCAGCACAAGTAGCCTGTCCAACAGTTCATAAAATTTTGCACAATTGGGATTGCATGGCATGCTATGCTACATGCTTAAGTACTGTGTTCAGTTTTGGGCCCCTCACTACAAGAAAGACGTTGAGGCCCTGGAGCGTGTCCAGAGAAGGGCAAAGAAACTGGCGAGGGGTCTGGAGCACAAGACTTATGAGGAGCGGCTGAGGGAGCTGGGAATGTTCAGTCTGGAGAAGAGGAGGCTCAGGAGAGGCTCACTGCACTCTATAACTTCCTGACAGGAGGTTGTGATGAGGAGGGGTTTGGCCTCTTCTCCCAGGCAACAAACAGGACCTGAGGAAATGGCCACAAGTTGCACCACAGGAGGTTTAGATTAGCCACACGGAAAGAACTTTTTCTCTCAGAGAGTGGTCAGGCACTGGAATGGCTGCCCAGGGAGGTTGAGTTGCTGTCCAGGCGTTTGGATGAGGAGCTACAAGACATGGTTTAGTGGCTTGTGGTCGTGGAGTCGCCGTTCCTGGTCAAGAGGTGTCTGGATGAGG